GAGGCTTAAGAGTGTGACCCCTCTGTAATTTGAGCACACCCTCCGGTCCCCCATTTTAAACAGGGGGACCACCACCCCAGTCTGCCATTCCAGGGGAACTGCCCCAGATGTCCATGCAATGTTGCAGAGCCGCGTCAACCAACACAACCCTACAGCATCCAGAGCCTTAAGGAACTCCAGGCGGATCTCATCCACCCCCGGGGCCCTGCCACCGAGGAGTTTTCTAACCACCTTGGTGACCTCATCCCCAGAGATTGGAGAGCCCGACCCAGAGTCCTCAGGCTAGGCTTCCTCAGTGGAAGGCATGTTGGTGGGATTGAGGAGGTCTTGGAAGTATTCTGCCCACCGGCCCACAACGTCCCGAGTCAGAGTCAGCAGCACACCATCCCCACCATAAACAGTGTTGGTGCTGCACTGCTTCTCCCTCCTGAGAGGCCGAATGGTGGACCAGAATTGCCTTGAAGCCGTATGGAAGTCTTTCTCCATGGCCTCTCCAAACTCCTGCCATGCCCAAGTTTTTGCTTCAGCACCCACCCGAGCTGCATGCTGCTTCGCCTGCCAATACCCATCAGCTGCTTCAGGGGTCCCACAGGCCAAAAAGGCCCGATAGGACTCCTTCTTCAGTCTGAAAAACCACACTATTCTTCCTGAATCCGAGGTTCAACTATCCAACGGACATATCGACACCCTTATGCCTGAACATGGTGTTCATTATGGACAATCTGTGACGAGCACAGAAGTCCAACAACTGAACACCATTCGAGTTCAGTTCGGGGGGGGGGGGACCGTTCCTCCCAACCCCACCCCCCCAGGTCTCACTGTCATTGCCCATGTGAGCGTTGAAGTCCCCCAGTAGAAGAAGGGAGTCCCCAGGAGGGGCACTCTCCAGTACCCCCTCTAAGGACTCCAATAAGGGTGGGTAATCTGGACTGCTGTTCGGCCCATAAGCACAAACAACAGTCAGGACCCGTCCCCGCACCCATAGGCGAAGGGAAGCTACTTTCTGCAGAAAGATAAAAAGCACACCTCAGCACAGGTGTGCTTTTAAAACATTAGAAATTAGAACACAGGATCTACAGTGTTGTTTTTTTTATGTTTATAGGGAATGGTTTATTGTTACTGTGTGAAACTATTTGGCGAAATCAAAATGTTGCCAGACAAGGAAAAATTAGGTTCATGCAATGACCTGCAAACGCACACGCAATAAAATCCTAAAACAAAAAAATGTGGCAGGTGAAACATTTCTTTTGATCTGCAAGCAAACAGATCCAGCTCCTAAATCAGTTACGTGGTTTGAAGCCGCTTGCGAGGCTTCAAACGTCACAACCTGTTCCATCAACACAAGCCTCGATACGCACTTCATAAAAATCCTCCGGGAGTACTAGACACATTCTCCGAAGCCTTGGCACAGAAGACACATCACTACCATAAGCCTTCTCCTAAAGCGTTTCAAAGATTTTGACCTGGCCTCACAATTGCAGACCATGTGTAAACCATCCCAGGACAGACAACAGACAGTGTGTGTGGTAGGGGGTGGATCAAGCGTTTGCTGATGTCAACATTGTGGACTGAGTGGCCCATGGATGAAGTGGCCCATGGTGGTGGCGGGGTTATGGTATGGGCCGGTCTATGTCAGGGACATCAAACAAGTACCTTTATTGATAGCCTTTGAAGGCACAGAGATCCTGAGACCCATTGTTGTGCCATTCATCCACGACTATCTCCTCATGTTGCAGCATGTTGCTCCATCTTGTAAGAATCTGCACAAAATTCCTAGAAGCTGAAAACATCCCAGTTCTTTCATGGCCAGCTTTCTCACTGGACATGTGAGCCATGTAAGAGGAGTGGACCTACATTCCACAATCAACAACCTGATCAACTCTATGTAATGGATGTTGCATTGCGTGAGGCAAGTTGTCACCAAACCAGATAATGGCCACTCTGAAAGCACATTTCACAGTGGTTTTTATTGTAGTCAGTGCTATAATTATGCTATCCAATTAGTATCTGGATATGCCAGACCTGTGAGGTGGGATGGATTATCTAAAGAAGTGCTCACGATCAGATTTAGACAGATTTGTTAACAGTATTTGAAAGAAATTATTTCATTTATATAGAAAAATGTTTTAGATTGTTGAACTAATAAAAATGGGAGCAAAAACAAAAGTGTTGCATTTATATTTTTTGTAAGACCCTCCCAAATAAAGCAAACAGCACATTTCAGATTTCAGTGACTTAATGTGGCCAGCCAGCCTACAGCACACCTGTGCAATTACCAGGCTGTCTAATCAGCAGTGGTGGGAAGTAACGAAGTA